CCCCAAATGATGTTTATGAAAAACAAGAGTATTTGAAAGACAATCTAAACCATTATTGCAGCATAAAATATATTTAATTTTCACAAATGTTTAAAATAGGACATAGTATATTTTGTATCAGCTATTAGAGCTATCAGTCTTTCATATTTCAACTTTGAATATAAATTCTCTAAGTATAGCCTTGAGAAATAGATTAATCATTGTATGCTAGCCACAATGGTAAATAGTGTCAAATCCATACGCCATTTGAATTGGTATAGATATATGTATGGGATATTGAACAGGAAACTACACTATTCAGCTACATGTCTTGCTACATATGTAATGCTATACTACAAAATTTTATAGAAGATCTCAAGCTGGAAGGGAGCCATGAGGACCATCAAGTTCAACTCTCCGCTCCTTGCAGGACTACTTAAAACTAAATAATATGACTAAGAGCGTTGTTCAATTTCAAACCACGTTTAGATTTTTCTTATTCAAAATTCAAGGTTATCCAGCTCATGTTATTTCTCTACGTCTCGATGCTAAAAATATTTGAATATAAATCCCAAAATGACATCAAATATTTGGCTGTATGTACTTCATTAACGAACATAAACCCATTTTTTGGTTAATTAAAAAAAAACCCACCTGTGGATTGAATGAATAAGCTTAGAGTATGAAGTAGGTTCAGCTTCTCTTCAGCTGCTTCCTTCTGTTTGAATCAAGAAGATGGAACTGCAAACAGCATCTATAAATCTTGTGTCCTGGTATAACTAGGACGAAGTGGGCTAATATGACTCTCCTGTAAATCAACTAAAAGACAAACTGTTATTTAAATGGAAATAGAAGAGCACTCTACTGAAATTATCAGCTATGGAGTTCCAGCCCATATCAGAAGTGTTTTTAATACTATTTTTCCTTTCAATGCAGTCACTTAAACTTTTTTAAAATTTGTTTTACATATGTACATCACAGAACTATGTTCACCTGAAACTCTTGATAAATTTTTAAGACTTGCTTTTAAATGGGATTTTAAAAAATCACATAGGTCTGAGCAGTCTTCTAGAAATATTCCTGTAAGCAGTGACTTTTATAGCTAGATTTCAATTTCCAGAAAACCACTGTGAAATTCTTCTCCTGTAATAATGATGTAGAGGTACTTTTACAGAGCTATCTCCATTTGAGGAACCCAGAAAGAGACTTATGTAGCTTGCCTCTACCACAGTTTGGGATACTGTGCAAGCCTGCTTCACTGTCCTCTGGAATATCAGAGATCTCTGTCTCTTGCATTTTGATACCAACTAAAGAGAACTTCTGTGACACTTACTTTGCCTTTAGAGATTACTTTAGTCATTACTGTCATTGGGATTCTGTACTGTTATCAAATCTCTGTCTTGACATCATTGATATTGGTGACTCTCTTCGTTATGCTAATTTTCATAGGACAGATATTAACTGTGATGAATAATGCAGGTATGTCTGCTCTCCTCTCGTGACCGTTACTGTCTTTTGCAGGGACAGTATAGCACAGCAGACAGTGTAGTGTATTGAGCAGCATATGTAGGACTGCACTGCAGCTCGGGCAGCCTAGGTTTTGTCCAAGGTTCTGCTGCTGATGTGCTGATGAACTTTGAATAAGTCATTTCGTAATGTAAAAATGTAATGTAAAATGTAAAAATGTTAATGTAAGATTTCTTTTGTAAAATGGGGGTAATAGTATCCTTTGGTAAAGTGTTTTAAAATGTGCATGTCATCTGCAATATTGCAGAAGCTGTCCCTTCTTTACATTTTCCCACACATGTACATGCTTCCTATGCTTCTTCTCAGACTGTGTCTCATAGTGGTGATTCCTGTCTATTCAGCAATTTTTACCATCCATCTCTCAGGCCAAATATCTACAGTATTAGGTTTCTTACAGAGAGCTCTACAGAATCCTATTTATTTGTTAGCTAAATTAAAGAGGTACAAAAGTGGAGCAGGAGAAAACTGTACCAACTAATGGACATTCTGCAGTTCTCAGTGCTACCTGAAGGTGACATCAGTTTGGGTAATAAGCTTCTATTTGCTACCTTTTGAAGAATTTGAGGCTTTTTAATACTTGCTTGGATTCTGGATCTCTTTTGGTTGCTATAGTTCAGGAATGAAGATGATGAAAACAAATCTAATTATCTATTTTTAGCAATAAAGAAAAATTCACCTTCTGGTCACAGTCAGAACTGCTGGCTTTGGCATACTGTAGTTAGAAAATTAGACTAGGAAACTGAGGGATTAACCTGCCAAATTTTAAAAAAGACACCCTTCAAAATAGGTTGAGATTGTGGCAAGGTGAATGGCAGCAGCTCATAGCTGTAGTTCTTGGGAATCTCTATGTAAGCACAGACCAACAAAAAATATTTCCCTTTATATGTTTAATCTTAAAACACAATCCATAGTTGCATTGAGATGCTCAGGTCATGTTTATTTTATTCACAGTATAAAGCCTTATGAATAATAGGCCTGTAAAGAAGCTCATTGAAGGCTGAAAAAGACAAAACAACTTGATAAGGCAAAAACATTTTTCATTACTGCTTAAGCAAAAGATCGTAACAGCAGGTTGGGAATAAAAATCGCAAATGATGGTCCTTTGCTTCCACAGCAACTCAGTTGATGTTTATTAAAAGGCATTGGCAGGACAGTCAAGCTACATACTTGGAATAAGGCCTTTACTATACTATTTGTTTATTTTAGTCATCATAAAGATAAGCATCACTTTGAACTGTCTTCTGGTGACATCACTGTGGGTGTTCAAGACTTTTCCAGATTCTTCTAATTTTTTCAGTGAACCTTCCTGAGTTTTAGCAGTCTTGCCATGGGAGGGAAGGTGTAATTTCTGCAATGACAGAAATCTTTTTTTGGCAAGTAGTAATGGTAATAGCAAATTGTCTGAGTACCAAGAAAATGGTAATGCTTGTTGATTCTGCACATAAGAATTGTATCCTGAGATCCTGATCTTCAGCATTCTTTTTTTTTTCCCCTGCATATTGAGTCATACAACACATAAAGAACACAAAAATTTTCTAATGGGGACCTTGCATTCCAGTACAGTGTGGTGTGGGGGTTTTTTTTGTTTGTTTGTTTTCTGTTTTGTTTGTTTGTTTTGCTATAAACTGCTTCATTGTATCAAAGATCTTCATAAAGTATTTTGCTGTAGTGTGGCACACAAGGAGAGAAGATAAATTTACTTGTACCTTGAAGGGTCAACTGAAATTCAAGTGTCTCAATAAAAAGAAAACAGGAAAACCTGGACAGCAAGCATTTTGACATTTAAACATTGTGGGGCTTTTAGTTAATGTGAAGGAGTTTTTGACCAGGTCAAGTACCAATTTCTAAAAATTATGGACTATCACAAAATTGGAAATCAGAAGAAATCTAAAACCTTTTACAGTTGTAAATGCACATTTTATCATAAAGATGCTTTTATTTCCAAACTTGTAATTTCTACCGGTTGCTTTATTGCTGATTGATTGTTCTTGAACATTAACTAGATGCTATAAAATTTTAGCTTTCTTTAGCTGTTAAGTACTTGCAACATAAGCCTTTTTTTGTAGTTTTGTAAGAGAAATTCTTTATGGGATTCCCTACAATCTGTCATGGGCTTCCAAAGTTACAAAAAGATGTCAATATGACTCTGAAATGAAATTCTTTTATCATGGAATATTCTGATATCTGCTGCTTTAAAACTTAAGTATGTATTTTAAATAATTTATATGTCACATTGACAGGATAAATTCCCGAATCTTGGGTTTTTTTGAGTTCACAAATCTATGGCATGTAATCTTCAGCGTTTCTTGTGATGTTTTTTCCCCATATAAGATGCAAATACTACACAACAAAGTGTTGTAATAGCATGCCAGTATTTTAAGTTAGCAAGTTAATCAATCCTTATCCAGTGATGAAGAAGCTAGAAAACTTTGGAAAGCAAGGAATTAATTTTTTTTTTAAGTGGTTAATTAATATAAACACTCATGTAGAGGCTGACAAAGAATTTCTGGAAGAATGTTAAGTATAATGTTGCATGATTAATCAATGTCAAATTGCTTTAAAAAAATTAAACAGTATGCAGAAAGCTTTTATTTTTTCCCAGTTATATTATTAATTCCTGATTGATTTTCACTCAGTTTACATAACAACATAAGCTAATATGTATTCCAAGCAATTTGGGAGGAAGATGAGTAAGAATTAAAATAAAATGTAAAATCAAGAAATACTCTGTTCTACTTGTACAGTTGTGCTTGAAGTTTTGATATTTTGGCCAGTGCAATTGATTTTAAATTCCCATGTTGTGTATTTGTTTATTTACAGAGATCACTATAAAACAGAATATGAAAAGAGACTGCATGAAGAGTTGGAACAAATAAAGTTGAAAACAAATCAAGAAATTGAGCAACTAAGAAGCACTTCAAAAGAGATGTATGAACGTGAAAACAGGTAGATAAGATGCAGGCAATAAACTAAATAGGGCAAAAATGACCAAGTACTGTTTGTGCTTAGGTATAATCCTAGTTGACTGGCTCTCGGAAAGGTGATCAAAGTGTGACAATTTAAGTTTGGTTATGAAACTGATGAGAATCTTGTAAAAACTAAAATGAAATTATACTTGTACAGTAAATATATAGTGTTATATTTATAATTAAATGATGGACATCCAACATTGTCAATGAAAAGTATTATTAAGCCACGTTCTAGATAAACATTAATTGTTTGAAGTTTGTTCAGATATATAGTGTTAGTTAATTAATACAAAATGTGTTGGTTTACCTGTCATGCTATATGGGCAATCTTGAAACTGTGCCAGGAAACCAGAAGAGAAGGTGTTGATACAGAAAGTAAAACAGAAAAAATGAGGGAAACCAGTAAGACTTTCTAAAATAAATCTATTTGGGATTATTTACAGTGTTATGATTCAAAAAAGCATTAATTTCCTGTAAATTATTATAAAATCCTGTTTTTAAGAAAATTCTAGTCCTGCAGAGACCTGCATATTGAATTTTGTATGTGTCGTCTTGCTGAATTCCATGGAATTACATGCAGAGTTAGGCACATACAAGCCATATAGACTTTAGGGATCTCAGGATTTGGACTTTTGGCACTGGATTTCTTTTTGAGCTTGGGTGTTTTGGGTTTTTTTGTCCCTTTTATTCCTTTAAAATGGAAGGAGTGCTTAATAATTCATTATAACTTCATTGTAGATGTCCTGGAAGTGTCTTGTGTGGAGAAGGAAATGACTGTAGTAAAAAGATATTTGTGGCATCAGCATGTGTTCCTCTAATAGGTAGTTTTGTTACTGCTCAGAGAGTGAAAAAAGGACGTGACTCCTGCTGTCTCTCTTCCAGTCAACTGAAAGGTTCTAATTAAAAAAGAATTAGATCATTGTGTAGTTTTGCAAGTGTGAGTAAAATATATACACACATACATCCACACCACTTCCTGTATGCAAATCTATTTTGAATTACAAAGTATGAATTTAAGCCTCCACTGTTTGTGGAGATTTGACAAGGGTCTGTATATCACTGAGAAAGCTACTGAAAGATATTTCATTTGTATCTGGAATGAATTTACAGAAGTTTTGTTCCTCATTTTGAAATAATTATTTCTGAAATGTAAATCCCTTAGATTTTACTTCATATTTTGCAAAAAGAGAATTTTTAGTGTATACTCTTTCTATAAAATACTAAAAAATTCCACCGTAGGACAGTGCTTCCCAGATTGAGGTGCCCCTCAATGGCGAGAAAAGTAGATCCCCAAATTGTGAGCAAAGCAGTTTGCAATGAATTTGTGTGATATGATGAGATGCTGATTGTGGCTGAAATTAAAGCTAAGAAGCTGATTTCAACTTCAGCCTGAAAGCATGGAATGGTATTACAGCCACGCTAATCTAGTATTCAGTTACTCTTACTCCTTAGCACTTTGCCAAGCCTGATGGGCCTGATGTTTCCCTTGAATTTGTTGGCACTTATTTTACACTTGGATGTGTCAGTTCAAGAAGCTAAAATGGGGGGGGGGCACGTATGACACCAATAAAAAGGTGATGCTTTCATTCTTAATTTATTTGGGATCAATTTCACTTGTTTGATTTTATTAAGCATTGGTTATATTTGCGTTAGCAAGCACAAGTGAATTCACAGTGAATGTCTGCATGAGCTTTGACTTTGGATTAGCTGTAGCCTGTTCCCATAGATGAAACACAGTTTAGTAGTTTTGAGCATGTTAGTTGCATTCCCTGAGCACATCTTCTGACTTGGTTCAGTCTGACTGGAATCCAGTTTGTGCACTCTGGAAGAGCTTAGGGATATGAACTGAAGTGCAATAAATGGCAGTTGCTGAGAGGTTTATTTCAAAAGCTAATATAGATGCCCTTGTGCTTCTGCTTCCCTTCCCCTGCCCTCATCCCACCTTTTTTTTCCCATACCTGTTCATGAATCTGTAGGTAGTATTTCTATCCCGTTTTAGAAGGGTACTTTCACTTGTATGATAGGCTTGCTAGATACTGGATAGTCCATATGGCTTGTATGTGCAGCCATCAGATAGGTGCTTTACCTCTTCTGCAATCACACAATCTGAGAACTAGCAGCTCTGTTGAAAATATTTCAAGTTACATCACATCTGTGATTGTCATCTTGTTGGTTGAGTAGTACCTCACTTGTGTCCTTTTTCCTTCTATTATGTTTTCAATTGATTAGCTCTTCAGTTAAGAAAAATAGTTCATTCTCTAAACGAGTTGCTGTATATATCCTAGCATTTAATTTTTACCTTCTTTATTTAACTTTTCTTTAACTTCTGTTACTCTAGCCTTAAGGATACAACATTGCGCTCCTGCTCTGAGACATAATATGCTTAACTTTAATGCTGTTAACAAAATTAATTACTGTGTTCTTATATTTTGGTATGAGTCAGTTTTAAAGAATCTACTCTCCAGATCAGCCCCTGAATTTCATCAGTAAATTTTGTAGCCCAGTAACTCAACTTTTAAATAAAATTTTGTTATCTTTCTCTCATAGCCAGTTAACTGTTACATTGTTCTGACGTTGATTCTTCAGAAGTAACTATTTCCTATTCATATGAATTAGTTTGAGTTCAGAAAAGTACTTTTGGTAATGTTTTCTTAGTCTAGAAAAGTCTTTAATCCAAAAATTATATACCTTTAGTGTGGCTAAAATGACCTAGGACAACATTTACATAGGCGTAATAATTTTCCGTTTATCTCTGTATCTTGGCTTTTCTCTTTTCTTCGAAATTTGCCTAAGAATATAATTTCACTTTGCTTTAAGTCCGAAAGTTCCTATGGGGGATGGGGAAAGAAACAACTTCAGTGGGAAGAGCTTGGTTGCATCTACGTTAAAGGTTTAGTTCAGATGAAGAATGTGGTTTTGAAGTGAAATCCTGTTGGCATTGCTGCTCGCCATATTTTTGCTTGCCTCACAGTTTGTGCTTGGATTTACGATATTGTGCTCGCATTTGTAGCACGTGAACAGGGTTCCTTTTAGATGAAATGAAGTTGAAAGGAGTCTCTAAGATCATCTAATATATTCCAAATGCTAATGAGTGTTCAAGTCACCGGAGCAAACCAGGAGTAAAGTAAAATCCTCAAAACCAATCATGATGTAGGTGTCTGGTCCTCAGCAACCACTGTTTGCTCTGCAAATTGGCTGTTAACTGTGTTGCACTAAGTAATGGAAACACTGCTTAGTGCTTGTAAGCTATACTTCCACTTAGTACAGTTCATTGCAATGTTATGCTACAGGCAGACTACAGATTAACAGACTATTAATACCTGTATAATTTTTTAACACAAGTACTATATGTAGTATTCTTCATATCATACTATTCTTATTTGTGTCAGTGAAATAACAATGAGGTAGTTAGCAAGTCTTGACTGATTTTTGATTAAAAAATTGAAAAAATATAGATTGATTACAATAAAATATTTGTGTTATTTTATGGTTTTGTGCAGACCAAAAATTATGCCAGCAATAGAAGCCAGAAAGATGCACCAATGATATACAAAAACCTATACATTGGACTAACTAGCCAATTAGTTGTATGTAGAAGTAGGATTTCTATGCCTAGCTAATCTTTTCCTGCTCTGTCATAAAAGTTGTGAATCATCTCAGCTAGGAGGACAGCATTCCCCTAGTTATTAGTGAAGTACCAAGCAAAATTATTGGAATTTATTTAATTCCTACAAACAAATAAGTAATTTATAGCTCTAGCATTCTAGAATTATTAATGTATTTCTGCATATAAATAGGTGGTTTGATCATTGGTTTTAGAATTTCAGAACTGGAAACTTTGGTAGTGTATGTGAAAGTAATCTGAAGTAAATCTGAAGCCTCTGTAGTGAATAAGGCATACAGGCAGACAGACCCCTCTATCAGTCTGTGAGAACTGAAGAAGGTAGTATTGAAGTTAAGATCAGTCAGTAGTAATTCATGAAGGAAAACAGTCTTTTTCTTAACAGATTCTTGACAGAATAACTTTTGTTTCCTTCAGAAATTTGAGAGAAGCGAGAGATAATGCTGTTACTGAAAAAGAAAGAGCAGTTATGGCTGAAAAGGATGCTTTAAGAAAATATGATCAACTCGTAGAACAGTAAGTATCTTTTAAAATGCATATAAACAAATCTAAAAGTATAACTATATTTATATCTAAGGAGTTTTAGGTAGGAAAAATGACTGCTTTGGCCTTCTGCTTATAAAGAATAAATTGAATTACAAACATTTCATTTAAAGGAAGTTACAGATTTAATTCTAGTAGTATTACAGATTTAATTCTAGTAGTAAATTTTTTTTCCATTACCAGTGCAGTAACAATATGAAAGTTTGATTCTTCTCCTACAGTCCTGTAAAGAAAAGCAAACATAATTGTGCATCTTATAGCAAGAATGTGGATTTCATACTGTAGAGTAGCAGTGGTCAAACTCTGAACCTGTTCTCTTGGTTTTTTTCATTAGTTAAAAGTAGAAAATGATCTTGTGTAATGACTTCAATTAGTAACTTTTGTAAAGTGTGGATAGAGAGCAGTAGTCATGAACAGTTATGCTTGCTACATACTTCTTTTCTTACTGCTGTCTCTTCTCAGTCTTTCATATTCCATGTATAAAATACAGTCTCCATACAAACGTACAATTCTATTCATATAAAGAAGGAAACTATGGTTCATTTTCTACCTGTTTACAAACAGTCTTACTGTCCTGTTCTGCAGTACCTTGTCTTCACTTTTTGTAAATTTAGAATATTAGCTATAATAATTTATGAGGTAACTTAAAACTATGGACAGTAATCAAAGCTGTTCAGGGTAAGTTTGTCATGTGTCCTTAAGTTTGGACTTGATTCATTGTTTAATCCAGGTCTTTTTTCTAAAATGAAAAGGTCAGTTCATTAACCAACTGTACTACTTAGTCATCTACTCAAAGAAAGTACTAGATGTGAACTATTTTTGCTTGGAGTTGTTTTTAATTATGAGTAGTAATCTGTTAAAATGTTAACTTGAGAGTAGGCACAAATTGATTAAACCTTTTAATTTTTATGTATTAACTCCTAAATTGCGGTGGTGATATTACTGAAGAAATAGCATTGCCTAAGGACTGTCATCGCTAACTAGTAGTGTGAAAAAATAGAGATAGTTCTACATTAAATGAGATGGGTCAGAGGACTTAATATCCTCACTGAGTTTCAGAGATCTGACTTCAGATTAATTCTAGTTCAGGCTGAATGGGCCCAAGGGTGCTGAATGCCTTTTAGTGGTTAAAGTCCATTGCAGGTGTTCTTGGATTCTCAAAAAAGAATTCAGTTAGCGAACTCTGAAATGATGGCTCGACAATGCAAATCAAAATGTGGAAATTGAAGCTGGTTAGGTGGGGACAACCAGGAAACTTGGTTCAAAACTGATCTCCTGAGTCAAAATAAAATGCTAATGCAAGTCAACCATGTGTTTCTTTCTGATGAGACTCCTACCTTTCACTGTGGTAAGACTTACTACGACATGGGGAGAGTTCATATCTAACTGGAAGCTCTTCTGGAAAATAGATCTGGCATATGATAATTTGAGTATGCACTTTCTTGTTTTTAATGAAAATACCAACTTTATAATTCTTACTGTATTTATTTTTAAACTTAAGAACCATGGAGAAAATACTTTCCTGTTCTGTGGTATTTCCAGTCATACAATGTGTCATTTTTTTCATATCGTTGCTTTTTTGAGGAGGGAAGTTCCCCTGCAATCAGAAACATAAGATTTTACAATGTGAGATTTAGAAGGGAAAAAAGAAAGTCAGTAATATGCCATTTGTTGTCATCTTCAATACACTCATGCTTCTCTCCTGTAGCTTTTTCTAGTGATAAGCTCTCCAATTAAGTAAAACTCTCCTTTCCTCAATATAAATAAGTTAATAACTTGATTAGTATTGTTTTTTGGAGTTCAAAGAAGCAGGTTATTCCTCAGAAGGTTATGCTTTTCAGAGAAGAAACTTCTGCTTGGGAAAACAGAAACCCTGTATTTCCCTTCTTTAAAATGAAGGTGTCTCTCTTTAAAACTACCTCACTTCTAACCACAGTACAGGTGTCAAGACTGTGACTTTTTCCACATTCCAAATCATCTACCTAAATGAACTGCAAAGTAACAAACTGGCATGATGAGATGGACTAAATGCCTTAACTTAAAAGACCCCAAATTCTGAATTTACTGTGAACTAACGTGTTGCAGTTCTGTGGAACAAAGACATGTTCTAATATTACAAGAAACACCTAAGATAAAAAAGGAATACCTGAGTTGTCCAATTCTATATTTAAGTGATTATAACAGCGAGTTCTGCTTTAGTGAAAACAAGGTGACTCATCGTAGTTACCACTGGTATCATAATCTGTATAAACAAACATGTTTGAAAGCTTCAGAAGTATGTGGAATGTTGACTGGCCTGAATGGTAGTTAAATAAAGCCCTTGGCGAATCTTGTGATCAGAAGTGTAGCTAATACCCAATTTTCTAGTCAAGTGCAGTTATTTTCATTTGTCTTACTGATGTTTGTGATGGCTTTTTGTAAACAGCTGTTTACAAATACCAAGAAAATACCGAAGTGATAATGTTCATGAAGGAGTTATATTGAGAAAAAATCTGCTATTTCAACCTCAAAGTAGATCACTATGATGTCAGGATGTAAGTTTTGTTGCTCTCTTTGCTATAATACAGCTGTAAATTCTGTGTGAGAATCCATGTTTCATTTACCTGTGACAATGAAAAAAACTTAACGGATTTGATATTTTGGATTAAACTGTGGTCAATATCACACATGTTCAAAAAAAATTATGACCAAATGGAAACATTTTCCCTTTGTTTTAAACTGCTGATAATGTGACTGAACCTTTTTCTAATTTTAAAGCTGTACTACCGCAATTGATAGTATCTAGGGATTGAATGAGGAAAGGAATTACAGAATAGCTCCATCATCTACTACATAGTAAAGTGTAGATACTAAATATGTTCCAACTTTTTCTTCTCTTGAATGTTCTGGGAGTGTTATTTTCAAACTATTGACTGTTAATCTGTTACTCACTTCTCCTTGCCAAAAGACCCCAACCCAACAAAACAAAACCAACAGAAAAACAGCACCAAAAAGTAGAATAAATGCATCTTGAGTTTCTATTGGTTTTTTCCTATTGGTTAAATTTTCTAGTTTCATGTAAGGTGCAACATCAAACTGAAATGGTTCCTTTATTCAAAGTAGACACTTAAAGTCTAATATGAGGTGAACTCATATAAGAGCACTTCACCTCAGGAGATGCCAACAAGAGCCATCGCTTGCCTTTGATTGTTCACTTCATTTAGGCCTTAAGGAGTATAATGTCTTTTTCCAGGACTGTACAGCTCAACTCTGTTAGTAGAAACTGGTTTAAAAATTCCAGAATTACTGGGAACACAAGGGAAATCCATAGATGGTGTGATTTTACAAAATCTTATTTTTCTTAGTGACAAAAAAACTCTGTACTCTGTTACAGCTGATTGCTGCTTACATAATGTACTCAGGGTGATTTTTCTTTTCCTGTCTTTGTAATGATAAAATGAGAAGTGTAGAAAAATGAAGAGAAACAAAATAGGTAGACAGTAAACAGACAAAGAATATTGAACAAAATTGTATTATGGCAATACTATTCCTTCAGCTTTGCAGTGGGCACTATTTATAAGGAAACTAAGTTTTAGAAAAGCTATGGGAGGTTTACATTC